GGGGAAGCCGGAAGGAAAGGCAAGCCCCAGCTGCGCTTTCCTCCCGGCATCGGCGACGGGGGTGGGTGGGAGCCGGTAGGAAAAGCAAGCCCCAGCTGTGCACTCCTTCCAGCATCGGCGATGGGGATGGGGGGAAGCCGGAAGGAAAGGCAAGCCCCAGCTGCGCTGCCAGCGGGGACTGGGGTGGGGGGAAGCCAGCTGATTGGCGGTTTCAAAATGGCCGCCGCTGTCTTCTGGACGGATTCCTCGCTTAAGAGGCACCGAAAATGGCCGCCCCTATGGAGGATCTTCGCTCAACGGTGAGTTTTAAGCCCATAGGAACGCATTAATCGTGTTTTAATGCGTTTCTATGGGCTTTTTTGTTCCGTTTAGCAATGTTTCCATATAGCGACGTTAATCCTGGAACGGATTAACGTTGCTATGTGGGGCACCACTGTACTAGCTTATTCTTTCTAAAAATGTCAGAACATGTTTTTATTTGAACTGTGGTTTTTTTCCATTTCTGCAGTGAGATCATAGTGACTACTTAGCTTAAAATCTGAAATCTGTGGGATAACCAGAGGATGCTGCAAGAGTGAAGTTTGTGTACACATGCATCAAAATTTATCTTTTGAGTCCTTTCAAGGAAAAAGGAGAAAATTATTTTAAATAAATAAAATAAAAAAATAATTTTTAAAATTTTAAATGTTTAATTTTTCCAGGATATAATAACCTCTAGATTTATTCCTATGTTTGATAGAGATTCCTGCTTTTGAGGTGGTAATGACATACTCAAGTGCAAAGAGTACGTAGGAGGAGGAGTGGTAGATTGAGTGATGAATTTGTACAAGTAACAGCAAAAGAAAGAGCTCTGTAAAAACTCTAATGATTGGTTGGCGCCTCAGAGGTTCAAGGCTGAAGTCTGCTCAGTGCAAACCATGGAGGGCTTTACTGTATAAAGACTTCATTTAGTCATACGAACTATAGTGCTTGGACTAAAGCATCAGAGCTATAGAGGGAAACATTTTAACAGTTTTATCTTATCCTGTTTCCCCGAAAATAAGAGCTAACCTGAAAATAAGCCCTAGTATGATTTTTCAGGATGTTCATAATACCCCAAAAATAAGCAATTAAGTGAAACCCCGCCCTCCACCATTTGGCAGCAACCAGAAGAAGATGACATGATTGTATTTGAGTAAATGTAGCTTGTTGTACATGACAAAAAAAAAATCCCCTGAAAATAAGCCCTAATGTGTTTTTGGAGCAAAAATTAATATAAGACCCTATCTTGTTTTCGGGAAAATGCGGTAATTATTTATGCTTGCATATTGAAATACCTTCTGCTTCTAATGGAGGACCCTAAGTAACCAAGTAATATGAAGAAGTAACATGAAGAATTGATTGCCAGATATATCTGTTTTAGCATGCTTGCTAAAGTCAATGAGATGTGAGTGCGTGGCATAGACACTGCAGTGCATCTGCCTCAAGACTTTCTAGGTCGTTATTCAAAGTAGACACATGGGAAGCATGCCAAGGTCCCAGCAAGCTTTAACCAAGGTGGAAAATAAACCTTGTAATCATGTTTGAGAATCACCCTTGTAAGGTTTGAGGAGAAGCAGAAAGAACCAGAGGAACCCTTTTCCTCCCTTTGTCCTTGTGTTACCTTCCCACAATATGCTAAAGAGCTTGAGATAACTGCTAGTTCCATTCTTGAAATCATTGTATTGCTGTATAAAGGGAGAGTGGAGATTCTGAGTGAGAACTGAGACTGTGTGGGCTGAAAATGCCTTAGTATCACAGCTCTCGTCACATAAACAGGCTAATTGGCTCCTCCATTATCCTTTTCATTTGTCTTCTTTAAATTGATAAATTCAGTACTTCGGGATTTGCCTGCCCTAGACATTCCATAGGGCCAGGGAGGTGACATGGGGCAATACATTAAATTTTCTTTTTTAATTTGCAAACAGCCATGCTTCTGTATGCATTCCTACTACCTCAATTTATCTCAAATGTACTGCTGTAATTTTGAATGGTTCAATCACTGAAGTTTTATATTTGAGGAGGTGCTGGTTTGTAATTTGGTGCCAGGGGTAAAGGAAATGTATGTTAATCACAGTGTAGTTAGATACTACAGGATTCTGTCTTCGAGTAAATAATACTCAGAATACACTTGCACTCCAGAATTACAGGTCCATCATCTGTATGCTGTACAGTCTTTTGTCATCAGTCATCTTTTTAATAGAGAGAAATGTATGTATGCACCCATACATGATTGTTTTCCCTCATCTATATGCTCTTGTTTTGTAGGGACATTCCAGTAGATTTCAAATATATAGCAGAGCCAAGTATGCACTCTATGCCAGCGGTGACTTTGTCCCCAAATGGTAAGTTTATATTTTTATCTTCTTTGACATAATGATAAAAATCTTTCAGTGCAGTTCCATATGAAGTTTAAATATGCTGGACATTAGAACAGACTACCAAATCAATGGTTGAAATCCTGTTGTGCAGTTACACAAATGACATACATTTTAGACACTAATTACTATGAATTAAGAAATCTTTGTATATTGTTTGTTGCGTATTGAATCTTCCACAACAGGATTTCAACCACTGATCTGCAGATTTCTTAAATTTTGGCACTTTTTGTCTAAAAGTTACAGTTTGTGTAATGGCACAACAGAGTTTCAGCCGGTGTGTTTTACTACCATCATACAGCAGTACAACAGCCAAAATCCTGTTGCAGAATACTGCACATGTAACAGTGCAGTTTTAACAATTTGCTAGCTACCAGTCACATGTCAAATTGCACACAAAGAGAGTCATGAGGTGTAAAATGTTTCTTATTCTGTGATCATATAATACAATAGGATTCTGGCTCAAATAATTTATATATGATTCCCCCCTTTTGTTACTCAGATTATATGTTCTTTGCTGAATGGGCAACTGGATTTCATAAGCCAACATATGTTTTTATTTTATCTAGTTTTAAAAGTACATTTGAATAAGAAAGGGTTTTGAGGCAGCATGACACAATATTTAAGAAGTGATAATCAACAGAAGTAAAAATTTGCTCTGAATTGGAAGGAAGTGAAACTCAAGACAGTTGCAATATCCAATAAGTAGGCTTCACTGTTCACTTTGTCCAGTGCTCCCTTCTTTCCTTTTAGGTGTCTCATGCCTTGCTTTCAGTCTTTAAGCTCTACAGTTTATTTCCATGGAGAATCTTAAATGAATAATATCAGAAGGCATAAAGCAGGTTGTTAGAGTTGACAACTTCTTTTGTGAGAAACAATTGCTCATATCTTTTAGACTCTACTTTTATCAGTATGCTTCCCAAAATTAACAAGAATTAAGGAAACGGAAATGTAAAGTACAGTAGTTTATTTTCAGAAGACTGACATCTGCATTAATATTTATATCTTAACAGGAAAATGGCTGGCTTGTCAATCAATGGACAATCAGATTTTGATTTTTGGAGCTCAGAACAGGTTTAGGTTGAATAAAAAGAAGATCTTCAAAGGTCATATGGTGGCAGGTTATGCTTGTCAAGTGGATTTTTCCCCTGACATGAGGTATGTTTCCTGTAGTAGTTCTACTTAAAGCTTCTTTTCACTTCCATTTTGATTCCATTAAGACTTTCTGGGTGTCATGATTTTGGACTTCAACACAGTAGAACACAGCATTTATATATGCTGTGAAAACATTTTCATTTGCATTCTGTCTTTAATATTCCTGTAAGATAGTATAGCAGTTTGGTCTACCCTTGATTAGTGTGGGTGGTGTGTATTTTGCAGCAGACTATCGTTTTCAGTGCTCAGGGCTACACATACAGACCTGATCCAAACATGCAGTGGGCAACAAATAGAGCAATTCCGTCAGTATTGGGAGTAAAAGCTCCTTCCTCTTCATGGGATGGACCAGAAAGAGCACCTTTGAGTAAGTATCCTAATCCCTTTAAGCAGCCAATAGGCACAGTCAGAGTTGAGCGTAGTGATAACCTGCTGGATAGGTAATGAGCACAGCACCTCAGAGACGCAAAACTACTGGTTATCTCTTGTTTGAGGCCACTGTCGTCAGTGCAGTGAATTACAAAAACTATTTAAAAAAATAGAAAGCAGTTTATATTTCTAAGGGTGTGCCCTGGAAGATGCCATATAGTCTTTTGTTTCCCATGGTAAACAAAATACTATTTTATGGATTGGCTTTTTGACCCATAAATAATTGCATTGTGCTAAAGTGACTGTTACTTTTTACTTTTAATAGCTATGTGATATCGGGTGATGCAGATGGAAAGCTGAACATCTGGGACTGGAAGACGACAAAGCTCTATAGCAGACTAAAAGCCCATGACAAAGTCTGCATAGGTGCAGTGTGGCACCCGCATGAAACATCCAAGGTGATCACTTGTGGATGGGATGGCCTCATTAAACTATGGGACTGAAGGCTGCTGCCCCGTGAAAATCTTACATCTCCAATCTCTGGGTGAACCTCCAAGATTTCATAGCACATACCCTGTAGCAAAAAACAGCAGGCTAAAAACAGAATAGTGGTATGGTTGTTTCAAGTACCTCAGTATTACATGCTTCATCAGAGACTCTAAATACCTGGTCTGAAAGCCAAGTTCAAGCTATGAGGAGCTAAAAGTGTCCTTGTAAAGTGGCCTAAAGTGGAAGCTATTTAGTAAGCTTGGTAGTCAATGATTTTTGAAATCAAAATAAACTAAATTGGACAGATCTTTAATTTCTGTGTTTTATAAAACTGAAAGCTGAGCCCTCATAAGATTCACTCTACTCTGTAACTGCTCAATTGGAAAGGTCAGAATATAAATGGGAAGGGGGAGTTAACAGAATGACCTACCTGTTCTTAGAAGTCTTAAGAGAGTGTTCTCCAATTTCCAAGTGCATAAGATAATTCACATGTATTTATTGCAGAAACTGCTACTTCATCTTGTTTTTGTATTCAGTATGCATTCTCAGTCATACTGGAACACATCCTTCCACAAAGACTTTCCATGCACTTGCAGTTTGTAGCCCTGGTTCTGTTTTCTGGCTGGAGTTACCACCTTGCCAAAAGACTTTGAAACAAAGTAGGAAGATCAAAGAATAATCAGGTGAAATTGGGCTTCTGGGATGTAGGACATATTTTCTGTGACTGGGAAGACATTCAATCAATGCAGCATTACATGCTTGCAATTTATGTCCCATCATGTGTAGAAAAGACCTAGCAAATGCCTGACATAGTGCTATTGAAGTAACCTGCTTATGATCAAAAATAGTCTAATTATATTAGCATTTTGATTTCTTTTAAATTTTACCTATATTCCATATACATCCATTATTTTAAATTCTCCCCTCTGATACAAATTAAAGCAAGCAAGCAAGCCCCAGTTCAGTTTTCAGGCTGGAATCACCTTGCCAAATGGAAAGGACCTCAATAGAGAGATCAGTTCTTGCAGAGGGAGTCCTGTTGCTTTACTTCAAGAGTCCATCCTGTAGAAAAGAGGACTGCAGCCCAGTCCACTTTTCAGCAGCCTTCCTGCTTTGTAGGGTGCATTGGTATAGCTCAGTGTGTTCACAGATGCATAGATTTGGTGTTACACAGTCAAGAACTGTCTGCATCAGGTCAGGTTTCCATTCTTCTTTAAATCTTATTTAATTAAGAGATCCAAAGAACATAATATATGTGTGTATAAAAAAGTCAAAAGTTAATTCACCAAATACTATTTGAAGATATATCCCATTCAACCAGTGGGGCTTTTACAAGGGCAGCAATTACTGAGTTACTGACTTTGGGGTACATTCATAAAGAAGATATGCTGGGAACCAAACTGCAGCTTCATTACCACTTCATCATCCAAGTCTTGTAAATGGGCACTTTAATATTGATTTTTTATTTTATATAGTTGTGTGTTTTGTGCTAAACTACTACTGTACATATATCTTTTTACAGAAAGCTATTTTAATAAATGTTTTGATATGAAAAGATGGATTCTGGATTCAGTATAACATTTTTAGCATTGTCCAAAGTCTGCTTTTTAAAGTACTTGTTTGGTGTAGATGTTGTAACTTCGTTTTCCACAGTGTGAATATGTTTTCCTTATATTGATGATATTAAAATATTATGCAATAGTTCCTCTTTGTAATTGAAACAGGATCTATAGTAAGCTTGAGTTACTTCACACTTCATTTTCCTCATCTCAAGATTAATAGTTATACTGAAAAAAAGTCAATAAATATATTGGTAGCCATAAAACTATTCTTTCATTCTGGATATATACTGTATCAAGTTTAACTGCTGCCTAATATTGCTTTCCAATAAGAGAAGAGAAGATGTTTAGAAACACATTCCGTTTTACTTATCTTCTTATTTATAAGTGATTTATTTAAAGTATAATTAACATGCTGGCAAATTGATTCTGATTTAAGGCAACCCTTTTTAGGTTTTACTAGAGGTACAGTACTCAGAATGGTGGGCAATATGAGGGAATGGCCCTCGATCCTAGACAGAGATATGTGTTTAAGGGAATTGTGATCCAACAATGTCTGGATAGCCGCATATGCCACATCTATGGTGTAAATGCAGCTCTTTGAGGAGGCATTCATAATACAGCTGTATTGTCAGGGGAGATGTTTTATCATATATAACATATATAGTAGTAGTGTTCAGTTTGTACATCATTACTATACAGTATATTGCAGAAGCTGCTACTCGCACACTGAAAATGTATAGGTATCAATGGGGAGAGAAAGCTTTAAAGAACAATGTATGAAGAAGGGATAACCCCTTCTCTTAAACTGCACTGTTCCACATGAAGTATCTCCCGCCGCCACCTTACTGCTGCATATTCCATACTTTGAAGAGTTATGAATATAGTCAGTGCAGATAGTCCAGCCACTGATGCAGATCACAGCTTTTGCATATCATCATACTGGTTATGGGTGCCACCAGTCCATCACATTGTGGCCAGCCTCTACATCCTTGGCTAGACCTGTCTTTGGACAGTGGACATTCAGTCTGCCACTGGAGAAATATTTCAGGCCTTCCTTGCCAAAGCTTGTGTTCCACTGGCATAGCCTTTTGAGAGCCCAGGTTACCTCCATGCTATGCTGAAGTAACAGAATAGGGCTTCACAGAGGTCATGTTGTAAATGTGCAGAAAATATATATAAACATTTCCTTTGCTGGGTATGAATTACATTCAAGCAGTTTTTGCAGTATATAGATGGGTATGGAAACAGCATTGGACAATGAAGAAAGACAAAGCTTAAAACTTTCATGCCACCCAGTTTGTAAAAATTGTATTTACATGTGACAAGATAAATTGTGCCGAAAATGTTATTGACCCGTGCACAGGTTGAAAACAAAAACATTTACATATTAATACAGTATTAACTTCACACATTCTAAAAGTATTCTTGTTCAGGTAAATGACAGAAATAGCAGCCAGTAAAAAAATACACTTATTCTATGCCTTACTCTGTATTGATGTAAGATTTTTTTTTCTCCCTGTACAAGGACTTCAGATCATGGAAGTTGGGTCTACTCTAAAGCAGGGACAACTTCATGATAGCAACTCTCCCTTTATTACCTGTTCCTTGTTCTGTTTATATAGTAAAAACATATCTAGGCCGCATACTTCTTTTTAAAGGATTCACCAAGGTAAGTTAGTGCTTTCTATCCAATATCATGTTATCATTAAATTTGTTGCTATCTTGTCAGTGTTCTATCACAAGCCCTGTTTATGAAGCAATTGCTAGAACAAGCCTGATAGCTAATCGGGCTATCACAATGCCCCTTCTGGCAGCTGAAAGCTCAAGCACTGCAGAGAGGGCAATCTGTTGAAACACCTGCAGCATAAAAGAAATGTGTATCTGGTGGTAAGTGTTATTCCCATAAAAGAGGGAAGCAAAAGGTTGAACACCACTGCCTTCATGCCACCCCAAGCTGCTGCTGATTTACGGTTTTGGCAAGAGGGCCAGGCCAGGTAAAATGAATATACCAAGAACCCAGCCTAGCTTATCTGGTTGTCTGTAAAGATTGTTTTGGACACTAAAAAATGATAAAATATTTGATATTATTTTATATGATGGAATATAAATTGTTGTAATTGTTGAACAATATAAATTGTTCCATACATGCAAGGAACAATTGTTCTCTTGTAGCACCACCTATCGCGCCCAGTTGTTCACACGCCAGATAAATATGTGTTATGATGACATGTAAGTGCATACCAAACATGGGCTAAGTTTCATCCAGTATATGGAAGAAGAGGGCAGCCAATATCAGCAAAAGCCCTATCATTTAATCTGTGCTGTGCCTAATAATGTTCATTACTTTGTTTTGACTGGGCTCCCTTTCATTTCAGATACTCAATATAGGAATCATTATCCACTTATAAACTCATCCATATATTTTCCATTATGGAATGTCTCAGGGTATGTGTCTGTTTTTGGAAGCAGAAGGTAATATGAGAGTTGATAAATATTTAATAATTATCAATTCAAATTGTTCATGTAGTTTTGAACTACTTAAAATCATTCTTGGATTTTGAAGGTTGATTGCGTATTGTAACATTTTTCTATGTAACATTTATGCATTTCATGGGTAATGCAGCTGTGGAAGGTGAACAGAACTGTTGCAGTCACGTTATTTTGATGAAGCTCAAGAGGGGGAAGAGATGGGAAACTGTCCCTACTGCTGGAAAGCAAATGGTAAATGCAGGCATTGAATTATAAAGGTCATGGTATTTGTTTAGTAGAAACAGAGGATGCTGAACTAGTGCAGTAATATAACCATATAAGCAATTTTACACACAACACAGTAGTCATGGTCACATGTGATGAGTCAAGGCTAGAGATGGGGGTATTCATATGCAAATATCCCCGCATAAGTCGCGTTAACAAGGGTTCAGCCCCATGGGGCTGAACGGTCCACTCATCAATCCAACGCAGATGGTATGATTCTACAAATGGTGCCGCAGCACATGATCTACTTGTGACTCCTGGCAGGAAGCGGGAGGACAAGCCTCGCAATGTTGAAGAGTGATGAGCGGATCACGTGCTGCGGGGATGAGCGGATCACGTGCTGCGGCGTCATTCGTAGAGTCACACCGTCCGCAGCAGATCGGTGAGTGAACTGTCCGGCCCCGTGGGGCTGGAGCCTCATTAACACCACCTATCATCATTCGTAGAGTCACACCGTCCGTAGCAGATTGGTGAGTGAACTGTCCGGCCCCATGGGGCTGGAGCCTCATTAACACCACCTATGCGGGGATATTTGTATACGAATATGAATACCCCCATCTCTAGTCAAGGCTCCAGGAGAACCGTGGCTTAATGTGGATGATTAGCAGGCTAGTATATGCTGCTTGATCGTTTCTACCTGCAACAGGAAAGGCTAAACCATTGTACTTAATGTTTTCCTGGGCTGTTCTAGATTAGTCTCTCCCAGTCATTCTGAGGCATCCACAAATGAACTGTGGATTCCATCTGGTTGGGTGGGAAAGGAGAAAAAGAGTTCGCTGTGCACTTAGATAAAAAAACGCAGTAAACGAACCAGAGAGGTCAAGAGAGTTGTGGTATATTCAGCAAGAGCAATTGACCTCCAGCCCACTACTTATTTGTGATAGGCCACACTTCTGTGGGTCTCTGGTGTACAGTGTTGAACAAACTGAACCAGTGACATGCTCATCAAATGTAAGCAGAACCAGTATGATCAAAATGAGAGATGGAAGGAAGGGCTATCTGCTGCATGTAAGGAGCAAGGAAAAGTTGCTGTAATGCAAGGAGATAACTATAAAAGCCAAGAAGAAAACAGGAAGTCAAAATGGAGTGGGGAAAGGCATTTTTAAAGTCAAGAGAAAATAAGGAAATCTCCAGATTCTCAGGATATTGCTTTATAAAAAGGGTAAATCAAAGTGGAAATCCCAACCCCACTCTATAATTACAGAAGCTTAATATTTTAAGCTAATTTGTGCTAGGATCCTACCTGTTTATCCAAAAACAAACCATTTGTTTTGATAAGTGTTACCTTTTCAATCTATGATGATAGTGGCATAAAGCAGAGTAAAACCTGGATTGAGAAGTAACCACATGCACAGATCAGAAGTGGCAATTAAACAGCCAGCCCACCCCAGCATAAATGATGCAAACAAAATATTTAAAATGTCCCTCTTCTAGGATAAGCTGTGCTTTTCTACTTTGGGAGACCATAATGCTTAAAAATGTGGTGGTGGGGGGGTGACACACACACTTATTAATATTACAGGGTCCCAATTTGCATGTTTGGTCATTCCCATCAGTACCTCGCAGTCCCACACCATAAGCTTAAGCTTTCCATTTCCACCTTGTATTCACCCAGCTCAGTCTATAACAGCTACTTGCATTGAATTCACTACTTTTTAGAAAAAGCTGTGGTTTTGATAAGTCTCTGTAAGTGTGAAAAAGCCTGAAGTCTTTCACTTCTAGTTCTTTGAGGAGACTGTACCAGTACCGAACCACGGTGCTCTCATTGCCGCTGACTTCAAACCCAGGCCAGTGGACATGGATTTCAAAGACCAGTTGGCCTATCTGTTCCACAGTGTCCTCCAGGATCAAGTTTTCCAAAATTTTCCACTCAGCACTTTCCATATCTGCTTTGAGGATATCAATCTAGAACAAATATGGTAGAAAGATGTGAAAGTCATCAGCAAAAATTATACAAATATATCACTGTCTTTAAGTATCATGGATAATCAGAAAATTAGAAGGGTGTCTTATGTGATGAAAGGCTGAAAGAAAACTCCAAAAACCAGATATACAGTGGTGCCTCGTTAGACGGTTGCCCCGCTTGACGACAAAATCACTTTACGATATTTTTTTTGCGATTGCTTTAGCGATCGCAAAACAATGGTTCCAATGGAACCATTGGAATGGTCAGGAAAAGCCTCCAAAGTGCTCTAAAGCGGGTGCGGGTGGTTTCAGGGCACCCCCACCAGGGCTCTGATGGTGCAGGAGAAGTCGTCAGAATCCTAGCAGGGGTGCCCCAAAACCACACGCCCCGGTTTTGGGGGTCCCCCGGGGCTTACCTTGCACCATGGGAGGATTCACCTGGTTCCCTCTGCGCAGCGATCGGCATTTGCAGAGGCTTGTCCGAAACCCTTTTAAAAGTTCCCACCTCTTCCTCCAGACTTCGGCAAGGCTCAGAAGGGGAAAATGCTCTTTTTTCCCTCTTTTGGGGCACCCTCGCCAGGGCTCTGATGGTGCAGAAGTCATCAGAACCCTGGCAGGGGTGCCCCGAAACCACCCGCACCCGCTTTAGAGCACTTTGGAGGCTTTTCCTTCACCATCAGAGGACTGGCGGGGGACCTCCAAAGCTGGCGATCACAGCGAGGGGACCCCTCCCCAGTCCTCTCATGGTGCTTTCCCAGCTCCCTACTCCTTAAGTTCCTTTTAAAAAAAAAGAAATTCCCCTAAGAACTCATTACTTTTCAATGCATTTCTATGGGAAATTTGGTTTCACAAGATGATGTTTTCGCAAGACAGCGATTTCCGCGGAACGGATTAACGTCGTCTTGCGAGGCACCACTGTATAAAATAATAAGGTATATAAACTATACAACAGAAATGAATAATAATAAAATATTGTGGTCATTTTTAGTATTCTTAAATATTTTGAAAAATAGAAGCTGAACATATCACCCTATATATTAACAGCAAATTTATCTATTAGGTGTTGATCATCAGGCAGGCAAAAGAGCCACATGAAAGGGTGCTTCCAGTAGACAATCCCAAGGTATGCAGAGGTAACAAACAGCAAGGGATGGTGGGAGCAGAAGAAGGTGAGGAAAACATCAAGATACAATGAACCCTCGACTTACGGAATTAACCTGTATTGGAACTGTGGCTGCAGGTCGAAAAGTCAGTAGGTCGAGGCTCCATTGACCCACAATGCATTGAAAACTGATTAGTCCGTAACCGGCTGTTTTTGTTCCATTTTGGGGGTTTTCTCCCGGTCTGTAGGTCGATTCTCCAGCTGCAAGTCAAACCTAAATTTTGCAGCCAGAGAAGTCTGTAACTTGAAAAGTCTGTAAGTGGAGCCGTCTGTAAGTCGAGGGTCCACTGTAGTCTGATGAAAACTGCTCATGTTTCAGTAGCTATAAGATGCTATTATCACAGAAGCACAAGATCGGTGTGAGGGTAGGAGGAATGGAATGGCGTATCTTGGCAGGGAGCATAGCATGGCTGGCTGAAAGACAATCTAACTACAGTGGGGTCTCGACTTACGAACGGCTCGACATACGAACATTTCGACTTACGAACCACTCTCATAGGAATATATGGACTCGACTTACGAACTTAGATTCAAGTTACGAACTCTTTTTTCCCCCTTTTTTAAAAAGCTAAATCATCTTAGGTTAAAAGGAAAAAAGAAAAAAATATCCCCCTCTAGTGGCAGAAGGCGGAATAGCAGCTTCCCATTAGTTTCTATGGACGAAAAGAGCAGATACGGATTAAATGGTTTTCAATGCATTCCTATGGGAAATGCAGATTCGACTTAAGAACTTTTCGACCTGAGAACTGCCTTCCAATACAGATTAAGTTCTTAAGTCGAGACCCCACTAAAAGGTGCTACTGCAAGTTCCAGTTGTTAAACCTACCACATCTATCAAATAATTATGAATAGCTTTCCAACCCCTACCCCTCTCAGACCGCTGCAAACCATTAATACACTCTCACTTTACAGATGAAAGACTGCAGCAAATAACTTGACCAGGCTTCTCTGTTTGATAACAAGCACAGGACCCACAAACCTCATTGTCTACCCAGCCATTGGAACATCCAGGCTCCCAAATCAGTAATGCAAGAACCAAAGAAACTTAGTGCAAACTGTAACAGGAAACTTTTTCCCTCACACAGAGAGACACAGACAAACACGTACACAAGTTTCCCCCTAAATACGGCCTTTGGAATTTAGTGATCCAAGTTCAGTGACTCTTAACTGTGTATCTTTGATCTAGAAAGTTCTTGGAAGATATCCACACTTACGTGCTTGAAGCAAACAATATTACTAGGGCAACGGCCGGTTTTTCACACACTGCTGTAGCATGCAGAGCAGCCCTAAGAATTGATGGCAAAGAGATAAGAGAGACGCAGTGGCCAAGACCCTGTCAAGTGATTTTTCCCAGCTGTTCCAGCTATTGCTATCCCCGTGACTTGGCAGAACAAAGTGCCATCTGTCATTTTTCAGGAGCAGTAAAGCAATTCCAAACTACAGCTACATCCATCATTGCCATGATAGTTCAAGAGGCTGTAAACAATTTCCGCACTTAGTGTCTATAGATAGTTTTAAGAAGGAGGAAATGTGGGTGTGCATTACAAACCAGCTGAAAGCAAACATATTCATCATGCAAATATATACCTACATCATGTATACTGAAGTGGAAGCTGAGAAGCAAATTTCAGATAGCATCACCAGTTGCAATGACTGCTCCAAGCTACTGCTTCTGTTACTCGAATGCTTGATTTCTTTACCCCCATCGGGCTGGATTGAGAATCTCCCTTCCACAAAGAGAAAGGCTGCTTCATCTCTGAAGAAGTTTCCACTCACGGAAGATTCATTCATTCATTTCATTTCATGAATATATGTACCATCCCATTAGTGCAATGCACTATTCTGAGCAAGTTTACAATGAAATAAAGCAAGCAATAGCAAAAAAGAAAGCAACAGTAATTTTTTAAAAAAATTAAAGACTACCCAAATCAATTATTAATATAATGACAACGCCTTGGCACAATTTGCAAGAATTTCCCCTTTCTCCTCACACCCCAGCCCAACAGCCCAGCCTATCCAGCAGGTTCCCTCAATTCTTTTTCTAATACTTCTGTAGGGAAAGGGAATGGGAAGTCAGTTTCCACCAGCTAAATATCTATGCCCAGCTCCAACACAACCAATTATGACCACTTAAGGCCAATGACCAAACCAGTCTGTGTAGCCTAGGGCAAGCAGCACAGTCCTACAGTGCCCCAGGAAGAGGGGTCTGAATACTTTACACCAAGGAAACCCTGTCAAGGGTTACCATAAATCAGAGTCAATTTTACATAATTAATAATTTAATTAACCAATAATAATATGGTAACGTCTAGAGGTATGAGCCAACCAAAGGTAAACAAACACCTTCTAATCTATGTTTCAACAAGGGACTCTCAAGTGTGTGCTTTTCAATTTTTAAGTATCTAGCTTCGACAAGAAGAAAATGGGATTTCCAAAGGTATACCAGTGTTATAGCCCAAAAGAACAGATTTCTACCACATATTAAAAATTAAGGCCAGTACAGTGGGGTCTTGACTTGAGAACTTAATCCGTATTGGAAGGCGGTTCTCAAGTCAAAAAGTCTGTAAGTCAAGCCTCCATTGACCTACAGTGCATTGAAAAACGATTAATCCTGTAACAGGCCGTTTTTGTTCCATTTTGGTTTTTTTCTGGTCTGTAAGTCAAATCTCAGTCTGCAAGTCAAACCTAAATTTTGCGGCCAGAGAAGTCTGTAACTCAAAAAGTCTGTAAGTCAAGCCGTCTGTAAGTCAAGGGTCCACTGTATTCTGTTGTGGAAAACTACATGAGCAGTATTTACAGTTTCCTCACAAGCCACTGCACAATCAATTATGTAATCAAGGAACCACTGAGTTTGTGATGGACAGCGTAGAAGATAGCACATGGCACTTGCACGATTGCCCTGTGAACTGCAACGCTCTGCGACTGCAACAGGATTCTTGCGTAACAAATTTATTGCAGCTTACAAACTCACATTATAGCAAGTCTGTTAGCATGCAACATGCCATAGAGACTTTGTTGGTTCTGGAAAATAACCATCCATGCAAGTAACAAACAAGTGGTGTTGAAGTGGTATCTGTCTCATGGATCATGGCTATGAGAATCCTCCAGCCTAATGAACTGCTACTCAATATCCCAGTATGGCACATATTTGCTTTATCTACAGATCATGCAAGGATACTTAAAAGGATTAATATAATTATGGATTGCCTTCCTAAACAGGACTGGAACAGTCTCTTGAAACTGGTTGTCAAACAGCTGAAAGGTATTAATCCCCTCTAAGGAAAAAGCACAAACAGCACTTACAGGCGAGTGCAGTATATCCAGATGTTGCTGAAGCACACTAATTACTGCAGAAACACTACTGCAAGTTTAATCATCACAAAAGGATCTACAGGAAAACAATCTCTGTTAAGGTTTTCTCAGAAGCAATTTTACTGCAATGTCCTTCCTGTGTTCAACGGGAGACTTTGGAGAGCTTATTAGCATTCGTGTCAGAATTTATCTAGAGCCACAGCTGTCTGCTCACATCTTCCGAAAGGAAAGCAGCGAGCCCATCTTCAGTGACAAAGAAAAAGCATGTGCTCATCTCCATATGGTGATAATTCAGTTGTGCCATCTCAGTTTTGCTGTGTGTGGCACTATCATTTGCTCCAATAACTCGTATCAATATAACTACCAAGTCTGCCTACTCCAATGAGACCCAAACAACTTCCTTATAGAGTATGCTTGAGATGGTACACAGTGCAAATGTTCTCACACAGTGAACCATTTATACACAGTGGCCCACTAAATGTATATGTTTTCTCCAGGGCAGTCCCTCATAGCTTGTGTCCAGGAT